TTGTTGTGAAATAGAATATTTATTTAACTAGGTAAAGATGTGTAGCATTTGTTTATGTTACAGAATATTTGTTTAAATATGTAAATAGGTATGGCTGTACTTCAAAGTCACAAGTCCTTCTGGGGTCACAGGGGCTTGGAGGTTTACCATTTTCAGGTGTCAAGAGCAAAACTCACTACCAAAACATTCAGAAATCTGACTTCCAGCCTCTGGTTAAACAGCTGTAATGGCGGCTATGTTTTTGCCTCTGATTTCTTTTGGCTACTCCGCAAACCGCATGCTTGGTGCTGGGAAAAGGCTGCAACAAAATAGTTCAATCTTTTTTTTGTGTCTTACATGCCTCCTGCTGGCTGAAATTATCTGTTTCTCAGTCAAGTATTTATCAAACTAAAGAAATTGTGCTAGTATTAGTTTATGTTTACAAATGAAACATCTTTATGACTTTGAGATGTTAAGGTACTGGGAAATCACGTACATTTGGGATAGTCAAATATTGCAGGAACTGACTAGCTAACAGCTATTTTAAAATTTGTCTTTTGTTGCCCCCTGGCGGCTGAATGTTTTCCTCACCCACACTCCACTCTACACCCACTTTTCTCTTCTTTTCTTTTCTTTTCTTTTCTTTCTATTAACTTCTTTGTCATGGCCAGTGAAAATACTGTAAACCTGGAAAAGCGATTAAAGTCAGTACCAAGTGACAAAGTAGCAGTGCCCACTGAAAAAAACTATGCATAGGAAATGAGCAAATGAAGATGAAATCTCTCTTAGTGGGTTGCAAGTCTGTGGTTTCTTTTTTTTTTCATTTAAATTGCAGAGGTTTCTCAACTGTGACAAATAAAAACAGCCAAAAATAATTCTCATTTTTTAAAGTCTAATATTTGAATTAAACTAACCAAATCATATGACTAGAAGCTAGCTGGAGACTTGGAAACATGTGAATACAATTAGCATTGCAAAAGTTTTAATTAGTTATTATAGGGTCTTTACAACAGTAAGAGAAATTGATTACCTATGATTGCAAAGACATAAACGTTTGCAAATTCCTGACTTAACTGGTAAAGAAGCACCATTTGTTGTAGACTACCGCCACCTTGTGGTCTAAGAAAGAGGTAATGAAGGTGGTGAAGTTTTTAAGGTGGATTTCATTTTCTACTACTACAAAATTCCTATTTACAATAAAACAAAATTTAACAATTATAAAAAGAACGTGTCACAATTCTAATAACATTCTTACCTACCAAGTACTTAGGTTAAACTATCAAGAGGTATTTGATTAAAAGTCATGACCAGTGTAGTTTATTTCTGAGGTCCTAATTTCATACCATGTCATTTTGCGCAAGTTAGTTAACCCCTTTAAGGTTCATCTCTGCTATATTTTTTGAGACAGTAGATTAGAAATATACTTCCCTTAGATCTTCAAACGTGCAAGTTTGCAGGTTTATAGAATCTGATGCCCAAACAGAATTAATACTTTCTCAGACTAGATATTTATTAAACTCACGGCCTGCTTAAATAGTTTTTTTTCTTTCTGATTTTTAAATTAGGATAAAAAATGATTTGTCCGATATTGACTTCTGTGCATCTGTGCTCTAAAGCGAAACTAATGCCAACCAGCTTTCCCATTGCTAATTGGCAAAGCGTGAGGTATGAGCCCCGAATCAAAAGCCTTCCATGGTTATGAAATATGCTCATTAGCTGTTGCTCTAGACAATATTTACACTCAAACAATCCTAATAGCCCCTCCATATTGCAGCTGCCTGTGGGTGCTCTCTTTGATGAAGATTTCATGAGAATTATTCTGTGTCTTTACTCTGTGGGCCCTTGAGGTGCACCAACATGGAAGAAGCAGACTGAACTCCTTCATTCTTCCTTCATTCTCTTTAAAATCCACAGGGCTTTATGTATTTCTTTTTCAGGGACTCAGTCTGTCCATAAAGCACAAGCATTCTTTTTAGAAGGCCAGACTTTTCATTTTGAGATGAGATGAATAGTCTAAGGTCATCTCTGCAAATTGCAAAACTATGTGTTCAAATCTAGCTATTAAACTGTGTTTCTACAAGCTCGCATAGGAAGAAATACGCTCTCTAGGAAGAAAGCCAGAAATACGAAGAGCAGAGGTTAGCACAGCATAGGCACTTCTGCATGCCTGTCCATACCCAGGGTTGCATATGAGTAACACCATGAATCTTCCCACAAGGACTCCACGTTTCCCCATTGTCACTCTGGCCGTTAATGAATGGAACCCCTACGACCTTGCTTCTTCACTGGAATATTTTCTTTCAGTTTACATATTGCTTATGAATATGTGCATATGGAATATGCTTGTGCGCCAAAAGCCACAAACACCAGAAGAGTGCTGGTCTTAAAATGTCAAATGGGTCTGAGATTCTTCTTTATGTGCAGTTTTTCAGTTTAGTAATTGGCAACTCTGACACCCGTGTCTCTGTTGAAGCGATTAAAAAAGAATCATTTCCCAGAACTACAGGTGCACAACAGATTGGAGCCATTATGCAAAAGAACAGAAATCTGGAGAGAAACACAGAGAATATAAAAGCCATGTTCCTGGCAGCCCTTTCCTCTTAACTCGGTGCTTTTTTTTTCCAGCCCTATTTGGATACAGAACATGAAATATGAAAAAATTATAATGGATTTGAAGTAACCCATTTGAGATTCAAAATGTACTCCCAAATGAAAATACCTTCCAATAAGAACGCACGTGAAGGAGAAATGGGCTGAATGCCAAGCTCTGAAAGCTAAAGTTTCTGTGGGAGAGTAGATAGGCTGAAATGAAGTACACTTTGATTTTAAAGTTATTTATTTTTCTGGTGGTCTTGTGAGTTTCCCTTCCTGCCTCAACTTTTACGGAGATCACATACATGTCAAGCATCTAGTAGAACTGCCACCCAGTCCTCAGCCATCTCAAGCACAAAAGTCTCCACGCCCTCAGTGGTTTTGCTTTCCTGCCTTCTTCTAAGGAAGGGGTCTGTAGGTACACTGATGAGCTCCACCGTCGTTGTTTCTGTTCTCACAAGTGTCTAATCTTGCGTGTTAGCAAGCTAGAGAGAACAGACCGGAAAGAAAGCCACACCAAAACAGAATGATAAACAAAACAAAACAGCCGACAGAAAATGGCAATGTCTCTCTCGGAAAGTGGGCCGGCTGGGAATTTGGGGGCAGTTTCAGGAAAGCCCACTTGTGAAGAGGTTCTTAGACACAGAGTAAGGCCCCCCTTGGCACCTCACAAATGAATGGGTCCCACTCCACACTGTGAATGTCGGTTAAACCTGAAGAATGCGATACAGAGGCCAAAAGGAAGGAAGACAGATTACATCTAAGTTTCCTGCTGGAAGCTCAAGCCTGCTTGATGTTCCTAGCTCAGCTGAGAGTGTGACCTGAAGAAACCAAAATTCCATTGGAGACAGGGTTCCTCCGGTGGGGTGGGTACAGGCACCAGGAAGCCTATTAGCACTTTGGAGGAGGTTGAAGTAGCCTTGTTTCTGGCATGCGCTTTCTCTTTTCTTTTTCATTTGATCTTCCCCGGAATAGGAAACAAAGTTTTTGTTTATGTTTTTCATGTAGGCTATCTAGAACTCTGGGAGAAAAGACGTTGCAAAGTATCCTGGGGAAAAAAAAAACTTCTGGAAGAGGGACAAGGACGCCTTGGAGGACTCCAAGGGACAGTCTGAGGCCCCCTGAGTTAGATCTGGGGAGGAGCAAGGGGGACGTGATCAACGGGGAGCGGTTGGAGCAACAGATAGGGGTGGGGCAGCCAGTTAGGAGCCCAGAATGGGAAGGGCAGGGAGCCGGAGCTCGGCGGCATGAGCTGTGAGCGCGCCAGTCTGCCTCGGGACTTGGGCTGCCCTTCTCCACATTGTCTTGGTGCCTTTCCGCCAGTGAGAGCATTGTGAACCATTTCCTTCCTCTGGCTCACGGAGCCCCTCCCTCTTTTTCAGTGGAGGAGCCTCTTAGCTCTTTCTTAGGGGCCCGGGGTAGGAAGGGCTCAGCTTTTTGTCGCTTTCGCAACGCGGATGCAGCTTTTCCCTTCCCGGTAGGAGGAACCCGATTTCCTCCTCCCCGCACCCCGTTTTGGCGCTGGTAGTAAAGAGGGGCTCTTAGACGCATCAGTCCGCCTGGCCTGCCGCCTGCAGCAGCTGCTGTTAGATTTTGGAAGTACTCGGACCGGGCGGGAGTTACTTTCCCAGTGAAGAAGAGCTAGTACAATCCCCCTCAGTCTCCAGGGAACTGAAGCTGGCCCCAGATCGCCTCTTCAGGAAAGAAGAATCAGGACACCCCACCCCCGCAGCGCTCGCGCCCCCAGACCTCTCTAAGGTTTGAGGAGCCTGTTAAGGTCGTTCCACATGGATTTCTAAAATCCAGAGGCTTGAAGTGTCCCGTGGCTCCCTCACTCAAACATTCCAATCCTGGGGAGCACAGATCCCGAAAGAGGCTGGGGGAAAGAGAGAGGACGCTGTAGCCCAGGTACTTGTGGAAGGGTAGGAGAGACATGGACACGCGGGTGCCTCTTTTAAAAAGAAAGGGCAGCTTTAGTTCACAGCCCACTTTGGGGAAGAACGGACTGTTGAGTTGAGAGGGTTGAGGGACAGCTAAGGCGCACTGGAATCTTGGTGAAGGATCTCTTCCATCCGACCCCTTCTCGTGGAAACTGCTGCCCAGCTCCAGCCGGGGCACAGGAAGAGTGGCAGGAAGCAGGGTGGTCCGGGAATCCACAGCCGAGAGATGATGTTAAAAGTTCACCCTTCTCCCCAGAGCAGCCAGGGCTGTACAAAGTGCTGGTCATAGCACTGTTTCGGCGTCTTACACCCCCAGAGTGACGAGCGGTGGCGTGAGGCCAGCGCGGAGGCTGCCCCCTCCCCCTTCGGGCCCCGCGGCGCAGAGCGTGGTTTAGCACCAACTGAGATCAGGGGGCGGTGTCGCAGGGATAGGAGGGGGGGGTAGAAGGGCGGGTTCCCAAGTGGCTATAAAGGGGCGGCCCGGGCTGCCTAGATCTTGCACTCGCTAGAAAGCAGCTCAGAGCCAGGTGCCATTGCAAGGAGCAGAGCGCACAGCAAGGCGGGGAGAGCAGATCCTGCTCAGATCCAGGCACACCGCGGCCAAGGCGGAGGACTAAGATCCAGGCTTCATTCCTGGGCCGGTCCCCAGCCCCGGGGCTCTTCTCGAGCCTCTAGCAGCCTCTGGGCAGCTGCAGCCTTGCGGTGCCTCCAACTCTGTGCTGGAATAAAAAGTTCCCGCGCGCCGCCTGATCCAAAGCGCCTCTTTCTAAGTGACCGGGAGCTTCGGCTGCCAGCTCTGCGTGGACTTTCAAATCAAAGTGATCGTGAATTTTAAGCATCCGGAGCAGACCAGCGAAGCTCTGTGCGTCTAACAAGGCTGCTCTGCGCTGCAGTGTGCGGTGTCATGCAGTCAGCAGTCCCTTTGGGGTCACGCAAGCAGAGGCCCCGCTCCGACATGGGGCGCGTCCAGCGTGCAGCTAAATCTCCGAGCTCTCCGCTTTCACCCGTGCTGCTGTGGCTGGCTTTCGTAGCAATGCTGCTGTGTGTGCGGGGCGCACAAGGGCGCCCCGCGGAGGAGGAAGAGGAGCTGGTGCTGCCTTCCCTGGAGCGTTCCCCGGGTCACGATTCCACCACGAGCCTCCATCTGGACGCCTTTGGCCAGCAACTGCACCTGAAGTTGCAGCCGGACAGCGGTTTCTTGGCTCCCGGTTTCACCCTCCAGACCGTGGGGCGCAGTCCGGGGTCCGAGGCACAGCATCTGGACCCTACCGGGGACCTGGCGCACTGCTTCTACTCTGGCACGGTGAATGGTGACCCCAGCTCCGCCGCCGCTCTTAGCCTCTGTGAAGGCGTGCGCGGTGCCTTCTACCTTCAGGGCGAGGAGTTCTTCATCCAGCCAGCGCCTGAGGTCGCCACCGAGCGTCTGGTCCCCACCGCACCGGAGGAGGAGTCACCCGCACCGCCGCAGTTCCACATCCTGAGGCGAAGGCGGCGGGGCAGCGGAGGAGCCAAGTGCGGTGTCATGGACGACGAGACCCTGCCAACTAGCGACTCGCGACCAGAAAGTCGAGACTCCCGGAATCAGTGGCCGCTGCGGGACCCCACGCCGCAAGGCGCGGGAAAGCCAACAGGTATAAGAATGCACACACACACACACACACACACACACACACACACACACACACACACACACACACACACACCCCACCTCCCTTCTCTAACGACGCGTGACTTGAGGGCGCACTTTAGCTCGCCTCTGGACCTGAAGGGCTCAGACCTGCAGTGGTTCTGGGTCGTGATCCCCCCCCCCCAAACAGGTTGGCCAAACCCTGCTAGAGCATGTATTTGCACAAATAGTTAATGATTTAAGAAAAGTCAGAAGATTCAGAGTTCCTGCAGATTAAGGGGCTAAGCGTTTCCAGCGGAAGTTTGTAACCCGATTCCTTACACTCTAGAATCCTTTCCCAACCCTGTCATTCCTTGAGCGAATGCATGGGTTCACTTTCAGCTTCGCGCTGAGTTTTGTAGCCTCGGTGTGTGCGTGCGGCGCTCACAGGAGGGCGGAGTAGAGGAGCGATGGTGACCTCGATGTGTGTTCGGGAGCCTAGGCAACGGCGCAGCGTTCTCAGATAGGTGGCTTTCTGTCCCCTTCCCCCACTCTGAAGGACTGACCCGGATGGTTGGCGGCGCCGCGGCCCCTGAGCAGAACCAGCTTGGGAGGTCTTTGCCCGGCTCGCCCCGCCTCTGCGCGCCTCCTACTTCTGCCGGGGGACTAGCGCTCCCTCTCCCGGCCTAGGCTCTGCTCCCCAGCGCCACCGAATGCAGCTACACTTTGTCCTGCAGTACTTACCAAACCGTTAGTTTATTTTATCGCTCAACTTTCTTTTTGTCCTCCATTTCCTTAAGTCACACACACACACACACACACACACACACACACACACACACTTATCCGTCTGCTCGTGGGAACAGGCAGATGGGTCAGAGCCCACTTTATGACTTCTCTGACCGTTGAAACTCAGTCAGCAGTTGGGAGGAGGGCTGTTTTCCAAATAGGCAACCCTGGTTTGAAACAGGAACTTACTCTCTCCCCCTGCGCCCGGGACAATGGGAGTGAGGGGAGGCAGAAACAGACGGCTGGGCAGAGTGGGTGGTCCTAGTGCCCGGAACTGAATAGAGCAGAGAACCCCTAGGGACCCCTTGAATGAGAGAGCCCAGCCTTGCCGACTGAGATTCCTCAAGTCCCACCCCTTGGCAGAGGCCCCCAGCCCTGCCCTGTGCCTTCCACGTGGAGCTGGATGATCTCATTCAGGATCTCAGCCCTGGCTTCAATAGTGAAAGGGTGACTCAGGGCCCTCTGCCTGCTGCCCTAGCCAAGTTCTTACTACAGCTGGGTAGGATGATATCCATACTGCCGTGCTCAAGCTGTGGATTCTCAGAGGCCTCGAAAGAAGCCCTGCAGACACATACATAGACAGTTTGACCACTCTAAGGAGTCCTTGTTGTTTCCTTGTTTTATTTAAGGCAAAACGAAAAAAAACTTTTTAAAATAACATTGCCAGTTTTTAGAAGACACAAATATTTGTTTTATTGTTATTCCAGGTGTATTTCAGCTTTATTTACTTTGACGTGGCTAACTTTCCTAATATACTCCAGGAGGGTCACTATTCTGAGAGAGACTGACCATGAGCAAACTTTCTTTTTTTCTCTTTATAGGACCTGGAAGCATAAGAAAAAAGCGATTTGTGTCCAGTCCCCGTTATGTGGAAACCATGCTCGTGGCTGACCAGTCGATGGCTGACTTCCATGGCAGTGGTCTCAAGCACTACCTTCTCACCTTGTTCTCCGTGGCAGCCAGGTTTTACAAGCACCCCAGCATCAGGAATTCAATTAGCCTGGTGGTGGTCAAGATCTTGGTCATCTACGAGGAGCAGAAGGGACCAGAAGTGACTTCCAATGCTGCCCTCACCCTGCGGAACTTCTGCAGCTGGCAGAAGCAGCACAACCCTCCCAGTGACCGGGATGCAGAGCACTATGACACAGCGATTCTTTTCACCAGACAGGTAGGAAGAGATGGTACCAATCACTCTACCACCTTTCGGCATAGGGATGGATGAAAAAGCCATCACATCTCTATTGCCTTTTAATTTCCTTTAAAGGGCTAGCTTAATTTGTCTTACTTGCTTCTTTTTTAATTCCAATGTCTCAAGTCCCGCAGTTCTCTTTTAATAGCATTAGAGGAGGTCTTGTTTAAAGTGACATGTAGTCTCTCTTGGGGTCCCAACAATAACGAATGGACAAGCCCTAAAGTACATGTGAAGACGTGCCCGGCTGAAGAGCTGTCTCAAGTCCACACTGTTTCCCTCTGTTCTTTGTAGGATCTATGTGGTTCCCACACCTGTGATACTCTCGGGATGGCCGATGTTGGAACCGTATGCGACCCCAGCAGAAGCTGTTCGGTGATAGAAGATGATGGTTTGCAAGCTGCCTTCACCACAGCCCACGAATTGGGTAAGTCAAATTCAGGGGACAAGGTGAACCCAGGGTCTGGATTCGATCCAGTTAAGACAGTTAACATTTTTATGTATGCCCTGATCAAAGTAGATACTATCCCTGAAACAGGTTGCCTACTCAATACGTCCCTTCCTGGGGAAAGGATCTCTTAGAAAGGAAGAGTCGGGCTCACGATCCCATCTTAACATGGGTCTCCTTTGCTTCCCAGGCCACGTGTTTAACATGCCACATGATGACGCAAAGCACTGTACCAGCTTTAATGGTGGGGGTGGAGATTCCCATCTGATGGCCTCCATGCTTTCTAGCTTGGATCACAGCCAGCCCTGGTCTCCCTGCAGTGCCTACATGGTCACATCATTCCTGGATAATGGCCACGGTAAGATGCCAGATGCTTTGTCTAGACGGTGTCCAGCCTTCCTGGTGTAGGGTTCGTCTTACACGAGCTACATGGTTCTTCATCAGCTCGTTTTCCCCTTTGCAGAATTGCTTCCTCTCTCTAGATCATAAGTTGCAGATCTTTATCCTCAGGGCTCCCTGCTTCCAAATTCTATTTATTCATGTTTTGAACAGAATAATAACTTCTTGCCATTGTTAATCCTGAAGTACCCTATTGAGGACAATGTCTTAATAAAAATCCCCCTGGCATTGGTTTTCCCCAAAATGCTACAATCCCAAGTGGCTATGTATTGTTTCACACAACAAATCCCTTGAAACACCATAATCAGTCCATTTTTTTCGTGTTTTCACCAACTATGTATTAATAGGTGCCTTTTTGTGTGTGCATGTGCAGGGGAATGTTTGATGGACAAGCCTCAGAACCCCATCAAGCTCCCGTCTGATCTGCCTGGTACCATGTACGATGCCAACCGTCAGTGTCAGTTTACATTTGGAGAAGAATCCAAGCACTGCCCCGATGCAGCCAGCACATGTACTACGCTATGGTGCACTGGTACCTCTGGTGGCTTACTCGTGTGCCAAACGAAACACTTCCCTTGGGCAGATGGCACCAGCTGTGGAGAAGGGAAATGGTGTGTCAGTGGCAAGTGTGTGAACAAGATGGACATGAAGCATTTCGCTGTGAGTTTTTCTAATAAAACGTGCTTGCTTACAACTCAGAACAGGAAAGAACAATATAATATTTAAAGTTCTTACCCAGACAAGCTCATCTATCTGTGTCCCATAGTGGCAATACAAGATGATAGTGTATTTTGAGAATTAATTCTTGGTTTTACACTTACTCTAATTCCCTAAAAAGCCTCGTAAGAGTTCTAACAGTGATATTGGTGTCTCCATTTAGACTCCTGTTCATGGAAGCTGGGGGACGTGGGGGCCCTGGGGAGAGTGTTCAAGAACCTGTGGTGGAGGAGTTCAGTATACAATGAGAGAATGTGACAACCCGGTGCCAAAAAATGGAGGGAAGTACTGTGAAGGCAAACGGGTACGCTACAGATCCTGTAACATTGAGGACTGCCCAGACAATAACGGTGAGTCCTACTGCTCTTCAGCAATCAGAAACAGGGCCAAAGAGATGAGCCCACCTGTGGGTGAAAGTCGGAGACTGGAAACATCACCATATCGCTCTCTTTTCAGGAAAAACGTTCAGAGAGGAGCAATGTGAAGCGCACAATGAGTTTTCAAAAGCTCCCTTTGGGAACGAGCCCACTGTGGAGTGGACACCCAAGTATGCCGGCGTCTCGCCGAAGGATAGGTGCAAGCTCATCTGTCAAGCCAAAGGCATTGGCTACTTCTATGTTTTACAGCCCAAGGTAGATACTTTGACACTTGTATCTTTGCTAAGGAACCAAAGGCCTTGGCTTTCTGCCTTTACATGCAAATGTTTGGGTTCTCTTTACATATTAACCTGCCTTTAGTTTTGACTTTGGAATACTTCCAAATGCAGGAGCAACTTCTTGCTTTGGAATTTGTGCTGCTTTCAGTGGAGAAGGAAGCTTAAATCTAGCAAGCGAGTGAGAGTCTTGCATGTGTTTAAGATTGCTCCTTTACATTCAAAGTGTCGCCCTTTGAAAACTCAATAGCCTCCCTGTGTCACTAAGTCCCAAAGGCAACAATTCATGGTTAGATAAATTATATATTAACACAGTATCCAGGAGTTTTAGAAACTAGTCCAAAGTACCTGTTACTGGATACCTAGCAGCCTCACATACAAGCATACTAACTAAGGTGAGAGTCTAAGCATTGAAAATTCATCGTTGGAGCACAAACTTTGAACAAAGATACACTCAGCTTTTCTTTTGATACTTTGCTGGGGGGATAGGTCTTACTCTGAAGCACAAAATGAAATTAAATTTGCTTAAGGTTGCCATGGAGCCTTAGTAGCTAAGATAGGAACACATGTCTGTGTTGCAGATGAAATATTTAGCGAATGATTCATGAAATGCCTTCTACTGCAGCGTATTACTCTAGGCACCGACGCAATCAAACCAACAGTGAACACTACTTCCATTGACCACAGCAATGGGGGAGATACATCAGTAAGCAGACAAACAGGGCACTCTTAAACTTTGCAGACAGCTATTGAACAAGACACAATGAAGGGTAACGTGTGGCAGGTGAGAGAGAGAATGTTTGCTGCAGCAGGGGGAGAGAGCAAAGAGGAGAGCATTTCCTGACCATTGTCACGTGCCTCCTTCACATTAGACCTGTCATCACCAGGCGCATGTTGTCTCCACAGGTTGTAGATGGCACCCCCTGTAGTCCAGACTCCACCTCTGTCTGTGTGCAAGGACAGTGTGTAAAAGCTGGGTGTGATCACATCATAGACTCCAAAAAGAAGTTCGATAAATGTGGCGTCTGCGGAGGAAATGGCTCCACATGCAAGAAAATATCAGGATCGGTCACGAGCACAAGGTAAGCGTCAAAACACTGAGTTCAGGAATAGGAATGCAGCTCAGCTGAGAGACAGCCTGCCTAGTGTCCACAAGTCCCTGGGTTCAATTCCCAGCACTGAATAAAACCTGGCGTAGTGACATGTCTGTAATCCTAGTACCTAGGAGGTAGAGACAGGAGAGACAAGAGAGTCAGATGTTCAGGCCATCTTTGCCTATCTGGTGAGTTTTGGGGTCAGTTTGGCACATGAAACCCTGTCTCAACAAACAAATACACAGAAACAAAACAAAAAAACATAAATACTTCATGTAATTTCAGTGTTTGGGAGAAGGATTGTTATGAGTTCTGGACCAGCGTGGACTATATAGTGAGTTCTAGTATAGCCTGGTATAAAAGTGAACCCTCATCTCAACAACCTAAAATTAATTAACTGATCAACATATGAGACAAAACACATTAATTTTGACATAACATTCTGTAGGACTCAGGAAAAGTCACATTTAAAAGAATTGCATATTTTTAAGCAAAGTTGTTGATTAATTGGGGATTGAAAGACATATAAGGAAAAGTTACATTTAAATGAATTGCATATGTTTTGCTGGGCATGGTAGTGTCTACCGTTAGTCCCAGCACTCAGGAGGCAGAGGCAGGCAGATCTCTGTAAAAGGCCAATGTGGTCTACAAAGCAAGTTACAGGAAAGCCACAGAGGTTACACAGAAACCCTGTCTCAAAAAAACATAAAAGAAGAATTGCAGAACTGCATATTTTTAAGCAAAGTGGTTGACTAGCCAGTGATTGAAAGACATAACCGTTTTCTTTGTCCACAGACCTGGGTATCATGACATTGTCACAATTCCTGCTGGAGCCACCAACATTGAAGTGAAACACCGGAATCAAAAGGGGTCCAGAAACAACGGCAGTTTTCTAGCCATCAGAGCTGCAGATGGTACCTATATCCTGAATGGGAACTTCACTCTGTCCACACTAGAGCAAGACCTCACCTACAGAGGTACTGTCTTGAGATACAGCGGCTCCTCGGCAGCGTTGGAAAGAATCCGCAGCTTTAGTCCACTCAAAGAACCCTTAACTCTCCAGGTTCTTATGGTGGGCCACGCTCTGCGACCCAAAATCAAATACACCTATTTTGTGAAGAAGAAGAAGGAGTCATTCAATGCTATCCCCACTTTTTCAGAGTGGGTGATTGAAGAGTGGGGGGAATGCTCCAAGTCGTGTGGCTCAGGTTGGCAGAGGAGAGTGGTCGAATGCAGGGACATTAACGGGCGTCCTGCTTCCGAGTGTGCAAAGGAAGTGAAACCAGCCAGCACCAGACCTTGTGCAGACCTCCCTTGCCCACACTGGCAGGTGGGGGATTGGTCGCCATGTTCCAAAACTTGTGGGAAGGGTTACAAGAAGAGAACCTTGAAATGTCTGTCCCATGACGGGGGAGTGTTATCAAACGAGAGCTGTGACCCTCTGAAGAAGCCAAAGCATTACATTGACTTTTGCACGCTGGCAGAGTGCAGTTAAACAGTTTTGAGAAGAAGGTAGCATGGGAGGGCTGATATCTGAGATCAAGAGTTCTGGAGGGATCCCATGAATCAAACCAGTAACAAGTGAGGCCTGTTAATGAGGTGTGTGGGTGGGGGGTAACATAGCAAAAGGGGTAGATCAGGACATGATCCTGCTAATTAAAATTTGATGAGGTAGTTAATGAGGACTATTAGCATCTGAGAGACCATATGTAGCATGATGATACCCCAGAGCGTTATTCGTATTTCTCTTCTTACATCTATGGCAGAAACAATTCAGAGTCTGGGAGAAATCTTGCAAAGCCCTGTTGCATGGTGCTGATTAGATGCTTGCATCATGGGGATTGGGAAAGGCAAAGCAGAGAAAAGGTGAGACTGTATTTCAAACATGGCTTACTCTATGTCACTGGCAATGGTGGCCGGGAGAAGGCAACAAACAAGATCATTATTGGAAGTTTCTGACTGTTGCGGTCTCAGAAAATGGTGATACGTCCTTTCTATCAATAGTGAAATGTTCAGGTTGCTAAACACAAGAGAAAGGCTCACCTCTGTGAAATGGCTCATGTTCCTTCTTACACCATCTCTGTTTTGTTTTGTTTTTTTTAACTATAAATCATGTTGAGGTAGAAACAATCCACCTATCTTTAAAATGTACATTAATTCAAAAAGGAAAAAAAAAGGAAAACATCGAACTAGATGAGGTGATGAGGTGCATGAAACCCAAGGGAGCACAATGAGCAGCATGTCCCCTGCTTTGCCTTGTCCTAAGGTCAGCGCCTGGGGACTGTGGATGATAAAGACAGTGCATGTCCCACAAAGGCAGCAGTATCACACTTGTCAGTGTCATGCCAGAGTAACGATGGGGTTTAGAAATAGGGTCCCGTGAGATTGGGACCGTAGAGGTGGCTTGTCTTACATGGGAAGCTGCTGCGGGGTAGCAGGTCCACTCCCAGCAGCTGGCCCAACAGTCGTATCCTGGTGAATGTCTGTTCAGCTCTTCTACTGAGAGAGAATATGACTGTTTCCATATGTATATGTATATAGTAAAATATGTTACTATGAATTATATGTACTTTATAAGTATTGGTTTGTTTGTTCCTTCTAAGAAGGACTATAGATTATAATAAATGCTTATAATAACATATTTATTTTTATACATTTATTTCTAATGATAAAGCCTTTAAGTTATATCGCTTTTGTAAAAGTGCATATAAAATAGAGTATTTATACAATATATATTAACTAGAAATAATAAAAGAACACTTTTGAATATGTATGTCTATTTTCTGAAGTGGGATTAATTCCTGAGCAAGAAATCTGATGAGATACAAATACTGGATTTTGAGACAGTTTTTGTGATTTTGGTGAATGAACTGTATTTCCTGTTTGCAGAAATACTAATAAAAAAGAAGTTGATGGTGTCCTTAGTGATAAGATGGTTACTAATGCGGTTGGCAAATACTGCAAAGAGACAGGTAGTAAGTACTTATGGCATTGTAGGCTATATTTCCTGTCATAACCATGTGACAGCGAATGCTTTTGTAGGAATGAGAACAGCCATAAATGATATGTAAATGATTAACCATGGCTGTGTTTTAATAAAACTTTATTCACAAAAACAAATGATGGGCCAGATTTGTTCTGTGAGTTTATTTGCCAACAATAAAAGTAAATGGAAAATGATTCAGCTTATAGATGCATTTTGAGTTTTTGTCTCCCTTAATTACATCAAGTAAGGAAGAATGTATGAACATATTTAAAGCATAGAGTAATAACAGTGCCTCACACATTTGGGATAGACATAAGAGGCAAGCTAACACTTTGAAATCTTTGCCTCCTTCAAGAGTAAAACCAATGTGTATGGGAGAAATCCAGGATGCTAGCCTTTTTTAAATCATTGTATTTTGAAAACTAAGTGGTGCATAAGTAACCACAAGTTCAAATTATTTCCATTATGATGTTGCTTTCAGGATCTTGTTTGCTAGAAAACTGACAATGTACTCAACTACTGACATTTCTGACTCCTCATCATAATTTTTCTTACAAAGTGTAACAAGATGCTGACTTCAGTTACTTAGCAGCTGAAAGAATGTAGTGGAACTAGGGACATTAATTGGGTTAACTTTTTATAATGCCTGCTCTAAGACTCAAAGACAATACGAAAGTCTTTGCATATCATTGAATAAGCTTTTAAATGCAAAACCTGACTATGTAATTCAGCAGCCCATGTTGCTGTGTGCCAGCAACCTTCATTAACATTGACTCCCCTTTTAGCATGGTACAAATTCCTATGGTGAGTGACTAGGAAAATATATACCCACAAATTCTGACTGCTGTCTTCCACACAAGACACACGATCAAAGGCTCATATATTGCTACGAAAATCTGTAACACAAAAAGTTCTTTGTTGAACTTTCCTCATTCACTAAAAGATTTATTGAACTTTCACCAAGAGATATTGTTTTTCTTAAGCAGCTTTAGGAGTCTTGATGCAGCAGGCAACATCTCTAAAATTCAGGGCTTGAGCCTGACAAGGCGGCTCAGTAGTTAAGAGCACTTGAAGCTCTTATAGAGGACCTTAGTTCAGTTCCCAGGCCCCACATAGCAGCTCACAATCACCTGTAACTCCAATTACAGGGGATCCAATACACTTCTTTGACTAAACCAAACAGCTAAGCGACAAAGAAAGTACAGGATTCGAAATCTGAATTCAAAGAAGAGATAGAAACACTGAAGAATTCTCAAGCTGAAATAAAGATAAAACTGAAGCATTCAAAATTAGAAAACTCATAGGTGAACCCCACCGGCAGAAAGGATCAAGCAGGAGAGAGCACACCAGGAGTTGAAGAGAACGTACACGTATACTTATCTGTGAAATTACCAAAGAATAACAAGTTATAAAAATTGGACTTTTAAGCAAAACCTAAAGGAGAGGATAGAGATGAAGCTAGATCAACAAAACTATTAATTGATAAAATGAGTGAGGTATAGAGACTTACTATGTATTTTGTTCTCTATACTTACATCACAGTTTGCCTTCTATTGCTGTGATAAAACAACACAATATCTGTGCCAACCTGAGAGAACCAACCAGTTCATCATTCCATAGTCACAACATAAACATTAGCACTGGTTATGAAAACTTGACCATTTCATATTATAAGCTCCTAGGCCCTTATTTTCAGTACCAAGAGATAGAAAGTTTTTAAAGAGAGGTTCTGAGAACAGAACTGAAGGTACAGACTAGGGAGTATGGCTAAAAGACTTAACATGGAGGCAAGGATGGGAGATCTTTGATTTTTGTCTGTAGATCTTTCTCCACACAGGTTGTATTATTTTTGTTCATAATTCCTCTTTCACTTTCTTCTTTCAAGTGGCCTAAGAACTGATCAGATCCCCTCTTCATTTCACATGAAAGCAAAGATGTGGACCTCAAAGAGCTCAGGAGTTAGGACAACTGCTGAGTTTAAGAAGCATTAGAAGTTTCATCTGACTTTTCCTTTATTTCCAGGTGGCTTACTTGGTTCTGAGACATGCAGAATTTTTAGCTCCAATTTTTTTCACCAAAGTCACTAACAGGATCAGAACCTGGGCTTGCGTATCCTGTCTTTTCAGAGTATGACAGAGGTAACAACAAAAAGTACACTCATTCCAAAGGGGGAAAAGAGAAGCTTAGGGGCAAACATCATCATCTGACTTGATAAGCAAATTCTAGATAAATGAAAATTAGCTGGAGGCCTTTATTCTAAGCAATAAAGCAACCCAATCTAAAATCCTCATTTTCTGGGTCTCTGAACAATGTCTTTTGCTCTTAAAGGCCCATGGAGAGGATGTCTAGTAAGTAAAGTACAAGGGATTCAGAAATGTTCTTTGTAACAGTGGGCTAATATCTCCTAGCGATTGGATGTTAACTGAATCTTTTGACATTCTCATTTAAAAATGATGTAACAATGTCCTATGAGTTAGCAGTAGTGATAATATGGAAAGCAACTAGCAGTGATCACAGTTTGGTGTGCATTTTATGCACACATTTAAATTTGATTTCCAAATTCAGAATGCAAGATGACTGCTAGGACTTGTAGAATATCTCGTTGATCTTAGATCTGTCATCTCCCTTTCCTCCAGCTTCAAACATTGGATGCTTAGATTTATGTTATTGAGGTCTTTTAGATATCTTATTGTCATTCATGTGCATTTTAAGCCCTCATAAGCTTTAAAAAGTAAGCAGTCCTTGTCAATGAGAAAAAATCTTGGTCTCATAAACTATGAACATTCCCAGGAAACAGGCTGGAGACTACATGCAATGATGCAGCTGGTGTGGAAATTCACACCTGTAATCCCACCAGGTGGGTGCACTAGACCAAAGGATAAAGAGTTAAAGATCAGCCAAGGCTAAAAAACAAGACCCTCTCTCAAAAAAAAATACAGAGGCAATTGAAATACATTCGAATATTCTTAACACGACTGGATTTATGTGTATGTGCTGTGCATGTGTCTAGTCGTGTCTATGATAGACGCCAAGGCCAGCCAATTGAATGGAAAAGATCCATGTTCAGTGTAGGAAGGAAGCATTTAACATACTGGAGATCTGGAGGACTCTAGCAGTCATTAACACTCTCTGCCTCTTCTTTCTGAAATGGACAAGTTATTTTCTATGCTTCTCTTGGACACTGGGCTTCAGGTTCCAAGTCTATGGGATTTACAAGGAGGTCCTCTGGTGTCCTCAAGGTTCTGAAGAGTCTAAAATCTTAAATTTACCCACTCCATTGAATTCCTATATCCAATCTGTAAAGTTTTTCAGTGTCCATGGTTATGTAATTCCGTGGGCCAGTTTAATTAATTCATATGTATATATAAAATGTGTAAAACACATGTTTGTTTGGCAAATCATTGGTTTTTCATGGAATATGAGGTGTGCTAGGCTCTAATGACCATAATTTGTGACACTTATCTGACTATAACATTAGATAACCTGGAAACCCTTTGATCTGTGCCTGAGTTCATCTTTGGTCCAAACTCATGGTTCTATTTTTCTGGGGGAATCATTTGGGAAATAAAAGCTATCTAGAGAAACTGTTGACTATAAGGATATTATCTATTGTAAAAAAAAAGTTAATTCAAGTTATAGGGGCAAATGGCATGACCTGTCAGGATAGACATGCCAAAGTTTAAATATGTAAAGTGGCCTCCAACCCCATATCTGATAATTAAAGACTATAACTTAGAAGCCCAGGGCACACATTGTTCCAAGAACTCTAAGGAACAGGTTTCCAGGAAGCATACTCAGAGCTCCTCTGAAGTGACCTGTCCCATTGCCTCTAAGAATTTCCTTTTCCTTCTTTCCTCTTTCCTTCCTTCCTTCCTTTCAAAAAAAAACTAAAAATAGCATCCCCCAGTTGAGTGGCTTACTTTATTCATGATATCTGTCTACCAAAGGCTTTCACTGTATACAAAACAAAACCTTCTTCAAGGACAGATTTGACATCACAGGACATATTTCAACAACGTGCTGTAGGTTGTAAAGGTAGTTCCGGGGAATTCATGCCTAAAGTATTTCAGCCATGGCTACATTACTGGGTGTGAACTTTTGAAATGATAACGCTAAAAGGGCCAGAGTGCTTTTGAATGTAGGCTTCTGTTCACCTGTTCAGCCATATTGAAAGGCCACTGACGAACTGGTTGACATTGCAAACCTGCTGTCATGGTGAGGAGCTAGAGCTAGACAGAAAAGGATTTCAGGCATAGTTAGTCTGAAACAGTTGAAGATGTTGTGCAAGGTATTGTAGAGGCTTTAAGCCTGGGATGATGAGGTTTAGAAGAGGCTCTTTATAAAAACAGGACACACCCCCAAACATGGATTTGGGGTTTTCTAAGAGAGTCAAAGAGAGGAAGACCCCAAATACAGGTACAAGCTCCCCAAGGACGAATTGCATTAGTTTCTTAGCATTTGTCATATGTACCACTTGGGTAACTCTCAAGTTACATCTCAAAAGGTTACTAAAGAACTTTTGTTTATTGTCCTTTCCTATCTCTTTTGATAAGTGAAATTATAAGTGACTCCACAGATGGTTCAGGTGGAATTGTGATCTGATAAAACCAGAAGCCACCAGAGTTGCAAGAAGAGTTTAATACTAGCCTTCCCTGCAAATGGGGCTGCTGGTGAGATTCCTAGGAAATTGCAGGTTTGCAACTAGGAGGGGAGGAAACCATTAAGCAGTTGTTAATTGTGCTGGAACTCTGGCTGCTCAGCTTCAGGCTTCATCTAAACTCTAGAGTGAGGGATTCCTCTTCTTACTCGTATCCCCTGTCCCAAAGGAAATTGGGCAGCCTAGATTCAAGCCATGGCTTTCTCATTTGCTTGCTGTGTCCAGCACCTTGTCTCAACTTTTTCCCAGTATAATGGGAACTTGCTTCTTACCAGTGGGATAAGGATCAAATTCTGTAACACCTGTAAATGCTTAAACCAATAGCTGATAATACAGTAAAATTTACCAACTCTGCTATGGTGGTAGATACTAAGGCAACATGTTTCAGTGAGATGATTTTTAGAATTTCTTTCCAGAAAGTTGTTATATGGAGACAGAGGGGCAAGTCTTGTAGTACTTGTTCTCTCCTTTTGACAGAGACCTTTGAAGTTGGATAGAAAGACAAGGGAATCTATAGGGATACGGAAAGGACAAGGA